AGAAATAAATAAAGGTTTCGTCCTATTTCAATGCCAGTGCAAGCCGCTCTCAGGGCTTTGATGATGAGAAACCTCGTCCCACCCCACGGCGTTGCCACGCCCACTCTGTTTGGTTTTCACAAATCTGTACAGGCTGCCCTATCCATTTCCATCCTCGGCAGAGTCAACTGGCCCAAAAGAAAACAAATTAGCTTCCATATAAAATACTGATTCCTAACAGCAATGAAGACATGTGCTGAGGAATGAGTGAATGAATGAATGGATGGATGGATGGATGAATGAATGAATGAATGAATTCAGGAGTAGCCAAAGAATGAGCACCTTGCTGGAGTTTTTCTCTTAGGTTTTGTAAAATGTAAATGCTGCTTTGTTGTAGAAGAGATATAGCTCACATGCTAATTCACAGGGAAGAGGCACTTGACAGAAAAATGTTAAACCGCAAAGGGAGGGAGCTGTTTTGCATGCTGCTTGCTGAACACCTAGAAGGTACTACCACCCCAGGAACCCCACGGGGGGTGGGGTAGGGGGCATCACCCTCACAAGTTCCTACAGCCCCAGCATCCCCACCAGAAATGCAGAGATCAAGACCCTCCCAAACCAAGGGCCCGCTTCCTGCCTGTCGGGGGCGAATCACAGGCCCGGAGGACAGTGAAGACACAGCTCCCACTGTTCGGAGCCTCTGAGCATACGAGCCCCAGCAGGATGGACTCATGTTCAACTCTCAAGTCCAAGGCTGCAACAACAGCACAGAATGAGAGAGAGGGAGGCTAGTTCCCCAGCCACGGGGGGTCCTCAGGTGCCGCCTGACCTGAGTGGAAAGAGCTGGAAGTCCCGTGTGCCTGGCACTGGCCCAGGCACGTGGATACACTGGGGGAGCAGACAGACAAAGATCGCAAACCTTAGGAGCCTGCAATACAGAGGGGAAAGCCAACAATCAGAAGATGAATAAAAAGTTATACAAGAGACCAGATAAATCAGGAAGTGCTAAGGAGAGAGCCGGCTGGATGAACCTAGTAAAAGAACGGCAAACCAACCAGTATGGGTCCCATTCAAAGTAATGGAGGCAAAAGTGAGGTTCCCGTGATGCCACAACCGCCTCAGTTCACTGTAGAGATGAACCCTCACCAAACTCCAGATGCCGTAAGTCTGATTGCGAAACTCAGTTGGGCCGACTTCTCCCCGTGCTGAGGTCCTCCTCCGCTTTTCTAAATTAGTGACTTGGAACTTACTCGAGGTTTTACTTCCCCTGCAGCCAGACACACTAGCGACTTCCCAGGCCCTGGAGTCGGAGACCGGTCTGCATCCTGGCTGTCCGCAGCTCTGTCCGCACCACACTGGCGGCCGTGGGCAAGCTGCTGCGTCACCTTCCAACCACAGCCCCTGGGAGGAGGGGAGTCGCCCTGAGGCTCATGCAGACAGGTGTGGACGCCTGATGCTTCCCCTTCCAGGACCGCCCGCCTCCTCAGGCAGCCGACAGCGAGGCAGCATTCACTGCACTGGAGCAATCACCAGGTACATTCCAGGCGGAAAGACACAAACCTTCAAGGACTCATAGTCTAGAGGGGGTGCAGGGGGGGGCCGAGAGGGGCTGCCGGATTCTGGAAGCTCTGTCTGTAGGATGTGGATGGGCTAATGCAACCTACCACATGGCTTTCCAGTGTTCACCTCGGTGCCCAGGTTCTCCAGGTTTGGCCCCGCCCGCCCGCCAGCCTCCAGGACGGTAGAGCCAGGCCAAAGAGCACAGCAGAGCATGACCGTCAGCCATTTGGTCTACCTTCACTCTCCTCTCCAGGAATTCCTCCCCACATGCTGCCCCCTCCTCCAGGAACATGACCCCAGCCCCAAACTCCACTGCCCTGTCATGTTGGCTTAAAAGTCACTTCCCCTGGGGGCTTCCCAGACTGCCGTGGCCTGTGCTCCCAGAACCTGCACTTCCCTTTCCAGGCTCACTTGCAGAGGCTTAACAAGCGGCTTCCCTTCCCAGCGCCCGTTCCCCAGTGAAGCTCATCTGTCTTGTCCCTGTGTGTCTCTCGTGCTTTTCTCAAGGCCTGGCCCTGAGCAGGCACTCCACAAAGATCGGTGAGCTCAGCTGAACTGAAGGACACACCAGCATGGTCTGCAGGGAAAACGATGGGGTGGCCTCGGGGTGCTGGTCCAAGTGTCAGCTTGGCCAAAAAGGAATCTCAGCTTCTTGGTTTGCCCAGTGATGGGTGGGCTGGCCAACCTCTAGGCCCCTCTCACCTCCAACACAGAAAGAGCAGGCAGAGGGGTGGGCGTCTGTTTCTCTGCTTGACTCTGAGCTAGGGTTTCAGGTGATGCTGGACAAATCAACGGCACAATCCAGCATTTATGGGAGGTTGTCCCTGGGCGCCAGGGGCACTCCTGCCTGAAAGGCTGCAGCCAGCACCCTAGCTTTCCGAGGCAGGCCCTCTCTCCTGCTCTCTGAGGCCATTCACCACCCAGGAGGCTCAGGCAGAGCCATCCAGGGAATAGAAGAAGCCGACAAAAGTACATGCCCATGGCCATGTCCTGGATGGCTTTCTAGGCCGACTCAGGCAATTCAAGCTCCAGGGACGCTACCTCAGAACCCATCCTTGCCCCTGCAGAGAGGAAGGCCACCCGCCCCGTCGTGGGGAAAGTGTGTCTGAGTCCAGAAGAGCCTCTGAGTAAACCAATGGCCATTTCCCAGGCCGTTGCCTGCAAACACGTGATGACTGCTGGATTCCAGCTTTTGGAGACAGATGTGCAATAACTGGCAGCCCACCAGCCACATCTGCCCGTGGATGTGTTTTGTTTGGCAGGCAAGGTTTTACTTTTTTTTAAATTCTACAATATTGGACGGTTCACATCAAATTCCAAATGTTTAGCTTCTCTGGAGAAACAGGCAGCACTGGGCTGAAGACGAGAGAAATGCCTTAGGAAGAAAGGCCCCTGGGTGTCTGGGAGCAAGGGTGGGCAAGTGAAGACCCAAGTGGGCAGAACCTGAAGCAGGGGAAGCCCAGGAGCCACAGACCCCAAAGCGTTCACTGCCAAAGTCAGCTCAGCAGCCAGCTGCAGCTCCTGGAGCCAGGGCAGCTGCCCCCTGATGGCCCCAGTCCCCACCACTCCCTACAGCCTCACACCAAAAGCCTCCCTCATGTACATTACTTCCTGGACCATGTAAGCATTTAGCTGGTAGCCTCTTAGAAATACACAGTCAAAAAAAAAAAAAAAAAGAAATAGACAGTCACAGGCCTCATAAACACCCCCCATCCACAGGCCTCCTTCCCCATAATCTCCTCTACCTCCCCTTATACCCCACCTTCAATGGTAAAAATACTGGCTGACATTGGAATGAAAGGCTACTGCCTGCAAAGAGCACATATCTACCCAGAACAGTCAGAAACGTTTTATGTGGGATGCCTGCCAACTACAGGATGTTTCATAAAGATGTAGTGAATAATTGACAATCCATCCGAGACACACTGCTTTCATCGCCACATCTGCTTGTCATTTTACTACGTCTGTACAAAACGCCGACATGTCAAACACGGGGGAGCAGCCACATAACTTATTCACGAAGAAAAAAAATCGTACGCGGTGATGAACTCTAAGTGACAAATCGTTATTTTTACTTTAAGTATTTGTCCATTTGCACAGCTCCATTTAAACAAGGATTGGCACCCTCTTTTTAAATTTCTGAATATTTGAGTAACACAGGATACCTGATCTGAAGCTTAAATCTTCCCCCTAATCCAATAGGGATCAGATGTCCTTAGGCAATTTCACAATATATTGGGAAAGGCAGCTGTAAGTTTGTAAGGACAGAAAAAAACATTATGGAGAATATAATTACAAAGTGGAAGAAATACCTGCTTCTTATCTTGTGTTTTCTTAAAATCTTCACATGCTAACCAAAATAAAACATTTTCTTCACTGAATTCCTTTTTTAAAAATTCCTATGGATACAGAGAAAAAAAGAATGCATAAAACAGTATTCTATTTTAAAAAACAAACATTTCCCTTCAAGGGTTGATTTGGTAAAATCCAAAACATGAGCATGAAAAGTCCACCCTGAAAAACAAAGCTTTTGTTTAATGTTAAAGCTAGAATTTCATATGCATTTGAACGTAATGGCTTTGACATTGTAAGGAAGAGTAAAAATGAAGCAAGCATCTCCTCACAATTCTAAGCTAACAATAAATTACCAGAAAGTAAATTAAAGTGGAAGATATATTGGTTCCTTCCAGACAATGTTTAAACAAAGTACATTCCTCTAAAATCAGGCCCATTTTTTAAACAAAACAAAAGAAAATATATTAAGCATGTCCAAAAAGGTCATGGTGAAAACTATTTTAAGTTGGAGGTGTATATATTTCTCTTTTGGCAGATATTGGGGATTCATGGCACAGAAAAGTGTCCTCCATGAGATCCAGACCAAGTTCACAGTGGCCTGGTGTCCAGGAATATTAGTAGCCCTGCCTGCCATCCCCTCCTAAGACCCCAGACTTAAGGACAGACTTCGGTGGAACTCGGGCAGATACAGGGTACTCTTCAAATTCACACGATCTTCTCTTGACACCTGGGGTTACTGGTGGCCAAAAAAGTTATTTCTAGGCAGCACTGATGCTTCCCCATCCATCAGCTTCCTCTTGAAGTTCAACTTGACTTTGCCAGCTGTTGTCTTGCCTGTCTCACCCTGTTAATAATCCCAACACATAAAAGAACAACCCCTCTCATCAGAAAGATGCAGACCACCCCTCCCAGGTATCAGAGCTGGACATTCTTTGTAGATCCTGTCAATGAACATGGTATGTCTTCCCCATTGTCCCACCCGCTCCCATTCAGCTATATGAAACCCAGAAACACCCTGTGCATGGCCCTCGCTGCTGGTCCATGACTACCCATGACTTTCCATCTTGGCATCGACAGGTGAGAAGTTATTCTTGAGTTGGGACAGTGTTAAAAACTGGCCTGTGCTTCCCCGCACACCCATCTAAACCTCAATGAAAAAGGCAAACCCGAAATCTCTTCACGCCTTCCGGGTCTTCGAGCAGATTCTCCAGAGAGGCCGCCCACTTGGCTGTGCTCTTGGGGTTCTGATGGCTGCTGCTGGAACTCCCATCACTGTCGTGGATGTCTGCAAAGCAAAGTGTAGACTGTGTATGTGACCCATGGACACTATCGTTTCAAAATATCTGCATATCATCACCATGTGGCTAACAGATTCTAAGTTAGGTGCCAGAATCTATTCTAGGCACTTAACCCGGTGAACTCACTCTAGCCCTGACAATAAACAACCTCATGAAGGAGGTGCCACCATTCCCTCCATTGTACAGATGAGGAAAACTGAGGCTCAGAGCGATGAAGAGACTTGTCATTTCCTGACACTCCCCTTACATCCTTCCCCTACCCATGTGTCCACCGGCCAAACGCAGGCAGCCCGCAAGTCTCACCCTCCCAGGCACCTGGGCTCAATAGAGACTCCTTCCCCATTACACTTTCTGTCTTATAATTATCATGTTGAGCTGTTTCTATTGCCTTGACGGACTCTTTCTCATCTGAAAGCTCCTGTGTATCTCTATCATGTGTCTCCAGCATGTAGCTCATTGCCTGGAACACAAATAACAGTATGTACCAGGGCCGGGACTAGGCTGGGGCAAAGGAGGCCCTGCCACAGGTGCAAAATTTAAAGGGGCTGCCAAAACACTCAGGCATCAAGATAAATGACATTTTCATGCAATATTTTGAAAAAATAAAAATGAATGCAAAACATTCCATAATGAGCAAAATACCAACATTGAAAATAAAGGCAGGGTCGTTATTACCGAGTCTTCCTTTTCCCCCAGGCTCCAGCATGGCTCGGCATCACGCTGTTAACTACGTGCGCGGACCGCAGGATTGAATGACTCTTTGTACCCACCCATCTGCTGTCCTCTCTCACTCCAGACACCTCAAAAGCCCCTTGACTGAGGGGTGGGGCACAGGGGATCTCCAACTCGCATACTGTAGCTACTTGCCTGAAGGAGGAAGTGACACCACAAACACGTCTCCGTCTACAGGATCCGGCCCCCTCCTGGAGTCGAGGGAAACCGTGGAATGTACTGGGATGAGCCCAGGTTTCACACCCAGTTTGGCCAATTCAAACTGTGCGACCAAGGAATACAGACAACCCCCCCCCCGTAGCTCCGGTTCCCCAAAGGATTAAAAGAGGAAGGGGCACCTGGGAAGCTCACAGTGGGCTCCCAACAAATGTCAGTTCCTCTCTCCCCTTCCTTAAAATAATGTATCGAGTGAACTATTTTTGTAGCTAATACTTTTTTCTCCGTTGCCTTTTTTTTTCCTTTCAAAGTAGAGACATGTTTCTATACAGAAAAGTTTGAATCTAGGAGGAAATAAGCTTTCAATGAAGAAATCGGCCAAATTGGGGGGAACACTTTGTAAAGTATAGGATTGTCTAACCCAGGGGTGGGCAAACTTTTTGACTCGAGGGCCACAATGGGTTCTTAAACTGGACCGGAGGGCCGGAACAAAAGCATGGATGGAGTGTTTGTGTGAACTAATATAAATTCAAAGTAAACATCATTACATAAAAGGGTACGGTCTTTTTTTTTTTTTTAGTTTTATTCATTTCAAACGGGCCAGATCCGGCCCGCGGGCCGTGGTTTGCCCACGGCTGGTCTAACCACTATGCTGTACACCTGAAACTAATACAGAATAATGTTGAACGTGAACTATAATTGAAAAATAAATAACAAATCAGCCAAGCAAATGACTTGAAAAGGATAAATGAAAGAGCCTTATAAATGCTGACCTGTGAATAACTAGGGTGTTTGGGGAGGAAAGTTGTATCAGAATACATTGGACTTAGTAGTCATTCAGCTTCCGTGACCTCTCATGTTCTACTGGAGGTCAACACACGCTTTACTTCCTCAAGCAGCCGAGGCTCCGTCCCCCAGCAGCTGGGGAAACTACCAGGATTTTAGACAGTCTCAGGCTGACTTGGGTTAAATTAGGCGGAAGCCAGGACCCCCACGGAAGGCTGTGTTTCAATACGCACTGGTGATGGAGTGCGGGACGGGAACGATTTGGGACAAATCCATTCCTTTAATGGAGAAGCGAACTCACGCGAGCACATCACAAATGGATCTGACGCCTCTCTCAAGTGAATCTTCAGTTCGAGGCTGTTACATTAGTTTCCTGCACTCCCTGCAAATGCTGGCTGGCATGGCAAGCCGCGGAACACGGAGCTTCTTCCCAGCGAAGTGTAAATCAAATTAAACGATCGTTGTGATCAGACATTTCTGCAACAGCGTTCGTTCTGCCAGGCACCTCACTAATTTACTCTCCTGTTCCTGACCCGGAGGACGCAGCTGGTCAGCTGACTCCATTTCCCCAGCAGAGCCCCTCTTGAGTAAATAAATGCAGAGACACAAGCTCGCGGCTCCAGGAACAACCTCAGGCGGCTGCGCGTGTCTCTCCCTGTTGCAGAACCACCGGTTGGGCCCTACGTTTTCAACCTTGACCTCAAAGGATTCCAAAACTCTTGACATTCTTTTCCATCAAAAACCAAACCACCATTTGGGTTTTCACTGACGTGCTATCATGCAAATGCACACACTCGGTGGAGTCCCATTCACCTAAAAGAGTGCTGTGGTTGACGGAGAGGTGAGGCAACTGACCGCACCACTGGACAGCTGCTACCGCCCCCTCGCCCTCTAGTCCATATTCTAGCCCAGGGGTCCTCAAACTACGGCCCGCGGGCCACATTCGAATACAAATATTGTATTTGTTCCCGTTTTGTTTTTTTACTTCAAAATAAGATATGTGCAGTGTGCACAGGAATTTGTTCATAGTTTTTTTTTAAACTATAGTCCGGCCCTCCAACGGTCTGAGGGACAGTGAACTGGCCCCCTGTTTAAAAAGTTTGAGGACCCCTGTTCTAGCCCTTTTGCATGTTAGGTTTCCACAACAACTTTCATTTGAACAAAAGGTTTTATAATTCAGAACCCACTCATGGAATCCAGGCGCCTTATTCTACAGAGCCTGGGAAATACAGGTACAAAGGGTACATGTCCTAGGAGAGGTGACCCAGCTAAGGAACGGCTGGAGGGAACCTGATTGTCTTCCGATTTGATTCAGGCTCTGGGTTATGCCTTCTTTCCTATAATCCTTCTTGATTGGTATTAATATAGATCGATCGATCGATCGATCTAGACAGACCAGCATTTGCAAACTCCATTTCCTGAACAGTGTCTCTCTTTTCCAAGCCGTTATCCCTGACCTCCGATGAGACTGAGCAGAGGTCCACTCCATTTGGCCTGCCCTAGAGACCACCCCCTAGCTCAGCATTTCCGTTACTCGGGGTCTGTCCCCTGCTCAGCAGACATCCACTACTTTCTGGTGTAGGTAACTAAAGGCTTCCTAAGCCATCCCAGTTCACTCTAAATGTTATAGTCAACCCAGTAATGCACAGGAGATAGAAATAACCTTTCTCCATCGCGGGCTGGTTTGCTCTCTGGACTTAAGGATAAAGCAAAACCCGGCTTCCCAACTCCTGGCACTTGGAGCCACAAAGGCCTGAGACTCCTCTCTCCTTCTTCGTTGATAAAAGTGTCCATTGGAGATGGATTCCACAGGGTGGGCTTGGAATGCACCGGTGGGAGAGAAGTTACACCTGTTTTCTTAAGAACCTCAAGCTAAGAAGGAGCTGTTGGTGACAACATCTGTTTTAAGTTTGTCCAGCTCTGTTTACTTTTTGTTGTTCTTTAGTTCAATTGTAGGACATTTTTGTAATGAAAAAAAATGGTTTCTGTACCTCTTGGGCTCTTGAAAGCATTTTAGACTTTCAATTTTTGCAGACACAATACTTATTTTTCAGTAACTTTATTTTCAGATTAACCTGTCATTAGCTAATAATAAACAAGTTGTTTACCATGTTCTGAGCTTTTCACATGGGTTAAGTCATTCTCTCCTCATGGTGACTCTCTGATGTGGTTAATATTATTCCCACTTCCCAGGTGAGGAAACTGAGGCACCGTAACGTACAAGGCGGCCCAGCTAGGAAACGGAATCATGGTCAAGCCCAGACAGTCCTGCTCCAGAGTGCCTGCCCTTGAGCACCAGGCTGTACTGTCATTTTTATCGTTGATCATCACACTCACAGAGGCCAGAACTTAACGGCCCTGAAGTGATGATCACAATTACACTGCGGGGAGAGGCCTGAGAAAACTGGGTAAGAGCCCAATTCCGCGCAGACAAAAACTCCCCTGAGACTGTGCCAGAACCACCTAACATGCAAACACATGTACGTACACTTTCCATCTACATTCATGCTGCTCTGTGTGGTTTCTGGCTTCAGTAAAAGCCATTGTGTCAAAGAGGGCGCGGCCTCCGGGTGCAGATGGCTGAGGCTGGGTGCTGGCAGCATATGGTGCCATGCATTATTTACAGCTGCCATGACGTCACCTCTACCAGAGACCTTCTCCGCACACCACTGCCCTGGAAATCCATATTCCAAAGGCATCTGGAACGCTCATCACAACCGAATGCTCACAGTAGGGATTCCTGCTGCTAGTCTGCAGGAAGGTCTGGGCCGTGATCCTGCATGGACAACTTCCCCAAGTCACATAATATTTTAGAAAAAAAATCTCAAAATCCAGCCCCTTCAACAGCAGAGTCAACTTACAACCTCAAAGGGCCTGTCCCAATTACCCCTAAAACCCACAGCACATGAAAGAAAATAAACTAAACATTCAAGCCCAGGAAAAGACAGGAGGGTTAACCCTAAATTCTAAAGCGGTTTGGTGCCCGCCCCCCCACACACACACAAACACATTCACGTGCGCGCGCACACACATACACACACACACACACACACGTGCGCATACACCATACTCCTTTAAGATACTCAAGGGAAAGTACACACCCCACGAAACATATTGAAACCCCAGATCACCTCCACCACATCAAACGTGCTACATTTTTTAAAAAGTCACCCCGACTCCGGAGCAGCGAATGGGTTCATTAGGACCCGTGATCTACTGCAAGCTCTGGAGAAACTGGGTCATGGAAACACTCTATCTTCTAAATATCACTTAAGCGTTTGTCAGCTCCAGTCTCTAGCTTCTGAGAATAATTACCCATCAGGCACGTAATTCCCTGGGCGGGGAGGTTAGCGTGAACTGCAATTAGCCGAAAAGAATAACAATAAAAAAGTGTGCAGTAATCATAATAGGAGCAAGCGTCAAAGAGCAGCGCGGGCAGTGTGCGGAGGGCTGGCTCGGCTCAGAAGCGGCATCGGCAGTTTCACAGGAGGCCCGAGGCCACCGAGAAAGCCTCGCGCTCAGGCTGTGCCTCCAAAGGCCACCTGT